TAAAATGCGTGTGAAATGGAGATAAGAGATTTGGTAGTAATTTAATTACAATTTCAATTTTGTATAAAAACTCAACGCCACTGTGGATAGTTCATCAGTTCATCGACTGACTTTGTCTGAACAATTATATTGACTTTACAGTATAAGTTTAAGGCTTAGTTGTTTAAAAGGAAATTCCATTTTAATTCAATTTTAATTGTTTAAATAAATTGAAATTTTTGAATAAACCAACTGACGGCTAAAATGGCTACCAAGAAGAATCTCTTGCTGTTGTTCGACCGTCCCACTGAACCCGTGTTCATGGAGAAGGGCAACAAGACCGTATTCGATGTGCCCGACAAGTTCTTAACCGATCGCTATCGACCCATTGGCAATGAAGTGCAAAGTCGTTTCGGTGAAAGTGCCGAACAACGTATTCCCGTTAGGGACATCAGTCTGCCTGATCTTCGTATTCCCATGTCCTTGGGTCGTGATGAACAATTCTCATTGTTCATACCACGTCATCGTCGCATTGCTGGTCGTTTGATTGACATCTTTATGGGAATGCGTACCGTAGACGACTTGATGAGTATTGCCGTGTATGCTCGTGACCGTGTCAACCCCATCCTCTTCAATTATGCCTTGTCAGTGGCATTATTGCATCGTCCTGATACCAAGGGTGTGGATTTACCATCATTTGCTCAGACTTTCCCCGACAAATTCATCGATTCACAGGTCTTCCGTCAGATGAGAGAGGAAGCCACTGTTGTGCCCGAAGATTCACGAATGCCCATTGTCGTTCCCAGAGATTATACTGCCTCGGATTTGGATCCCGAACATCGTTTGTGGTATTTCCGTGAAGATATGGGCATTAATCTACATCACTGGCATTGGCATTTGGTGTATCCCTTCGAAGCTGGAGACCGTAGAATTGTCGACAAGGATCGTCGTGGTGAATTGTTCTACTACATGCACGAACAAGTTTTGGCTCGCTACAATATGGAACGTTTCAGCAACAATTTGGCTCGTGTTACACGTTTCAATAATTTCCGTGAACCCATTGCTGAGGGTTATTTCCCTAAAATGGACTCTCTGGTTGCCAGTCGTGCTTGGCCACCACGTTTCGATAACACTACTCTGAAGGATTTGAATCGTGAGTTGGATCAAATTAACTTGGATATTGCCGATTTGGAAAGATGGCGTGATCGTATTTTCGAAGCCATCCATCAAGGATTTGTTGTGGACAGCAGCGGTAATCGTATCCCATTGGATGAAAATCGTGGTATTGATATTTTGGGCAATATGTTGGAGGCCTCGATTATCTCGCCAAATCAATCGGTATATGGTGATTTGCACAATTTGGGTCATGTCTTCATTTCGTATTCTCACGATCCCGATCATCGTCACTTGGAATCATTTGGTGTTATGGGTGATTCTGCCACAGCTATGCGTGACCCTGTCTTCTACAGGTGGCATGCATACATCAATGATATTTTCGAAGAACACAAGACCCGGTTGACACCCTACACCTTGCCTCAGTTGCAATATAATGGTATTTCCATTGCTGGTGTTCAGGTTAGCTCCGATGGTGGCAGACCCAATGTGCTGTCCACCTTCTGGCAGCAATCGGATGTTGATCTCTCTCGTGGTATGGACTTTGTACCACGCGGCAATGTTTTCGCACGTTTCACCCACTTGCAACACACTCCATTCACCTACACCATTAATGTGAACAACGCCAGTGGTGCTCAACGTTTTGGTACGGTGCGTATATTCTTGGGTCCCAAGACCGATGAACGTGGCCAGCCATGGATGTTGAGAGATCAACGTTTGATGATGGTTGAATTGGATAAATTCATTGTTCAATGTAAGTTTGGGGGAAGGGGGATGTTTTTGGGGAATATGTTGTTAATAAGTTGTGTTGTTTTTGTCTTTTATAGTGAATCCTGGCCAAAACACCATTAGACGTCGTTCGAGCGAATCAAGTGTGACAATTCCATTCGAACGTGTTTTCCGTAATTTGGATGCCAATCGTCCAGCTGCCGGCACCGCCGAAGAATTGGAATTCAATTTCTGTGGTTGTGGTTGGCCCGAACATATGTTGATTCCCAAAGGTTTGCCCGAGGGTATGCAATGTGAATTGTTCGTTATGGTCTCCAATTATGAAGATGATCGGGTAAGTAAAGGGGAGGGGGGATAATTACGATATTGTGACAAATGTTTTATTAATTATTTTTAATTGGATTATTAACAGGTTGATCAAACTTTGGTCGGCTCCTGCAGTGATGCTGCTTCGTACTGTGGCGTTCGTGATCGCCTCTATCCTGATCGTCGCCCCATGGGTTATCCATTCGATCGTTTGCCACGCCAAGGTGCTGATCGTTTGGTCAATTTCTTGACACCCAACATGAGCCTGGTCGATGTCGTTATTCGCCACGAGCCCAACAAGACTGTTGTGAGACAACAATAATTTGCCAATTGAGGAGAAGGATGTTTTACCAAGTAGCCAAATAGCTTATTAATAACAAAGAGTTTCATTTTAATATTCACATTGTACTTCCACATGATCCCTGAAATAAAATAAATTAAAATTTTATCTTTCCAATTTAAAATATATGTTTCCATTTTCTTCTTTCTCAACAAAAAATTCAATAGACTTTGATTTGGCGTTAAACTGTCAACAAATTAAATTTTCTTCAAAATGTGTTCAAAAAAGAAGTTGAGACCTAATTTGTTGAACATTTCAACAGAACAATAATAAAACATACAATTCCCAATGAGAAAAAGATTTGTCCCCCAAATGAAAGCGAAAAACAGGAAAATAATTCCCGACACGTTTCTAAACGGCAGAACAATAAACATTCGAAGAAAAAAACACCAAACGGCTGCGAACACTCACCACATACTCACCCTCTCAAAAAATACAATGACGAAAAAAAAACAGAACACGGATGTGATGAAACCTGAAACCCAAACAATAGTTGGCCTATTGTATACGCCAAACTGAAATCTAAACCAAATAAAACTTAATGTCAAACAGATTCACTTCTACAATGCGGCTTCAGACTTCAAACGAAGCGAAAACACTGGGACAGTATGGCATAGAAAGGAAATAAAAGGAAAAAGGAAAACAGAAACTGTCCTATTAAAATTTTTGTCACGTCTAGACATAATTTCTTCAATCATTTATTACCTAATTAAGTGGAAGTGTAAAAGAAAGAAAAAGAAAAAAAACAGCAACAACCTGGATGTTGCACCAGAAATGTCTTCCGTTTTTTTTTTTCTTAGAGGAACGACCACGTGGAGAACAATGACTAAATTAGCATGGCTATTTCAGTCTACACTAGGAATTCTTATATATATATATGACGTGAGCTTTCTACTATGCACATACATATGTTGGTAACGCTCAGGCCTATAAATCTGTTAATTTCTCATGAAATCTTCATTAAAAATCCACGCCTATAAATCTGGTAATTTCTCAAGAAATTTTCTTTAACCAGTAAGGAAAGTAGTAAAGTCGGACTGGGCCGACTATATGATATCCTTCACCACTTTGGGTATGTGCTACATATGTATGCTACCAGACGCCGCCTTTTCGAAGGAACATTGACATGAAATTGAACGAACTTAAATCTAAATCTAACCCGATTTACACGAAGTCTAACACACGAGCTAGGGTAGGGACAGATTTCCATCTCAAAGCCACGAAAATCTCCATGAACATGCAGAACAACATCAAGTGTAAATACATATACAAAAAAAAAAAACAGTAAGGAAAGTAGTAAAGTCGGACGGGGCCGACTATATAACACCCTTCATCACTTTGGGTATATTCAACAGATGAATCCTATCAGACGTCGAATTCTTAAAGGACAAGTAAAATGAAATTGTATCCACAAACATGTCATTCTGCAACCGATACTAATATTTTCATTTGGTCAGAAGCTATATCTAAATCTGAACCGATTTCAGGAAACTTAACACACATCATTCTAGACCTAATTCATTACGCTGTGCCAAACTTCGTGCAACCCGAAAGATATTAAGGGACTTTGGTACACCATTTACCTTAAATCGGACGAAAATGTATATTGGAGCTATATCTAAATCTGAACTGATTTTCACGAAACTTAACACACATCGAAAAATATATAGGGACTTTGGTGCACCATTTATATTAAATCCGACGATACTATATATGGGAGCTATATCTAAATCTGGACCGATTTTCACGAAACATACCAGACATCATTTTAGGCTCAATTCAGTACGTTATGCCAAATTTCGTGCAAATCGAAAAATATATAGGGACTTTGATATGGGAGCTATATATAAATCTATACCGATTTTCTCGAACCTTAGCAGACATCACTCTAGGCTCAATTCAGTACGTTATGTCAAATTTCGTGCAAATTGCAAGATGTATGTGGACTTTGGCGCACCACTTACATGAAATCGAACGAAAATATATAAAGGAGCTATATCTAAATCTTGACCGATTTTCTCGAAACTTGGCAGACATCACTCTAGGCTCAATTCAGTACGTTATGCCAAATTTCGTGAAAATCGAAAGACTTATAGGTACTTTGGGGCACCATTTACATGAAATCGGACGAAAATATATATGGGAGGTATATCTAAATCTGAACCGATTTTCGCGAAACTTGGCAGACATCACTCTTAGCTCAATTCAGTACGTTATGCCAAATTTCGTGCAAATCGAACGATATATAGGGACTTTGGTGCGCTATTTACATGAAATCGGACGAAACTATATATGGGAGCTATATCTAAATCTGGACCGATTTTCACGAAACTTGGCAGACATCATTCTAGACCTAAATGATTAGGCTGTATCATATATAAGGACCGTTTACATAAAATCGGTTTAATATATATATGGGAGCTGAAATCTGAACCGATTTTTTCCCAATTTCAATAGGGTTCGTCCTTGGGCCAAATAAGTGACCTGTGCCAAATTTCATCCAATTCGAAAAATAAATGCGACCTGTACTTTGTTTACAATTTAACATGGACAGACAGAAAGACAGACGGACGGACATGCATAAATCGACTTAGAAAGTGATTCTATACATATTCTCAAAAGGAATCATGTGTCTATCTCGTTTCCTTTTGCCTGTTACAAACATATGCACAAAGACATAATACCCTGTACCACAGTGTGGTGAATGGTATAAAAAACAGTAAGGAAAGTAGTAAAGTCGGACGGGGCCGACTATATAACACCCTTCATCTCCTTGGGTATATTCAACAGATGAATCCTAACGGACGTCGAATTCTTAAAGGACAAGTAAAATGAAATTGTATCCACAAACATGTCATTCTGCAACCGATAATAATATTTTCATTTGGTCAGAAGCTATATCTAAATCTGAACCGATTTCATGAAACTTAGCACACATCATTCTAGACCTAATTCATTACACTATGCAAAATTTCGTGCAAATCGAAAGATATGTAGGGACTTTGGTGCCCCATTTACCTTAAATCGGACGAAAATATATATGGGAACTATATCTTAATCTGACCCGATTTTCTCGAAACTTGACACACATCATTCTAGACTCAATTCAGTTCCCTATGCAAAATTTCGTGCGAATCGAAAGATATATAAGGACTTTGGTGCCCCATTTACATTAAATCGGACGAAAATATATATGGGAACTATATCTTAATCTGACCCGATTTTCTCGAAACTTGACACACATCATCCTAGCCTCAATTCAGTACACTATGCAAAATTTCGTGCAAATCGAAAGATAAATAAGGACTTTGGTGCCCCATTTACGTTAAATCGCACGAAAAATATATTGGAGCTATATGCAAACCTGAACTGATTTTCTCGAAACTTAACACACATCATTCTAGACCTAATGCATTACGGTGTGCCAAATTTCGTGCAAATCGAAAACTATATAGGGACTTTGGTGTACCATTTACATTAAATCGGACGAAAATATGTATGGGGCTATATCTAAATCTGAACCTGTTTTCACGGAACTTGGCAGACATCATTCTAGAGTCAATTCAGTACTCTATGCTAAGTTTCGTGCAAATCGAAATGTATGTAGGGACTTTGGTGCCACATTTACTTTAAATCGGACGAAAATATATATGGGAGCTATATCTAAATCTGAACCGATTTTCTCGAAACTTGACTCAATTGAGTACACCGTGCCAAATTTCGTGCAAATCGAAAGTTATATAGGAATTCGATGCCCCATTTACCTTAAATCGGACGATAATTTATATGGGAGCTATATCTAAATCTGAACCACTTTTCTTCAATTTCAATAGGCTTCGTCCTTGGGCCAAATAAGTGAGCTGTGCCAAATTTCATCCAAATCGAATGATAAATGCGACCTGTACTTTGTTCACAAAACTACATGGACGGACGGACATTCGTAAATCGACTCAGAAAGTGATTCTATGCATATTCTCAAAAGGAACCATGTGTCTATCTCGTTTCCTTTTGCCTGTTACAAACATATGCACAAAGACTTAATACCTCAAGGGTATAAAAATCCACGCTTATATAAATCTGTTAATTTCTCAAGAAATCTTCTTTAAAAATCTGTCAATTGCTCAAGAACTGATCTCTGAATATTCAAGGTCATATCGGCGGTGGTGGTAAATTTCAGAAACTTCCATTTACTACACATTATGTCTGTTCCTAATGTTCAACGTCATGTCATTCCAGCTTTTTGAATTTGGCTACATGGCTGCAAAAGGTCGTGCCAATTGTTGACCTATGCTACCCCTAACAAATGAAAATCCCCCGTATTTTTTGAATTCTTTGCACATGACTGGCAGGCCATTGTTCTCAAATCCATTTCTTCTTCTTCTTTTTGGAAGGAAATAAGTTTGTTCTAATTTACTCAATAGCAACAATAACTATAGGCAGGCAGCCAGCCAAACTGCCAATGGGTCTTATTGAACGTTGAACATTGTCTGATATTCGGTTTGTATGTTTGTTAGTTCGATTGTTTTCAATTTCAAGTACAAAAAGATCCAAGTAAAGTACACAGAGTGGGTGTTATTTCTGGCAGGAGAGATGTCCATTGAATGTTCGATGAAATGAATGAAGAAACAAATTTAAAAGAAACAAGAAGTACTTGAAGTCTATTGTGACACAACCACTTGTCAGTGGCTTTTGTTGTCACTGCAAACGCCTGAGTTGTAGACAACAACAACATTTTTTTTTTGTTTCGTCAGACTGGTACTAAACAATTTTATTGTTTTTGTTTGAATTGTTTTATTTTAAGAGGGCAAATTCAGGTTGTTATATTTGTTTACCTGGAAATACGAGAAGTCATGGCTGAGAAATTGAAGTCGGTGACCGGAATTCTAGAAATAAATTTTCGTATAGAATAGAAGGCTTAATCCCCAAATCGTACTATACAATTAACGAAACGCATAAGCCTAAATTAATGTAAATCGAAAGCA